CTCCGCTAACATCTCCACCACAAGACTACGGCGCCGAGGAGGAGGCTGATCCCGTGGTACTAGGACCATCGGAATCCCAGACATGTCGTCTCCAACTTCAGCACATGAGGAGGTGGATGCCAGACTGCTTCATCAAGCGTTAGCCCCGGGCTGTTGTGCGTGGGACGCCTTCAACAATGGAGCAAGCAGCTCTGCTGCCCCATCGTAGTTGCCACACCACGACAGCTTAATTGTGTCACACGTCGTACAAGCTAAGGCTGGCACTGGTCGTCAGCCATGGGAGTAGAGCCTAGAGTCTTGGACTCAATAATGGGCACTTCGTTGGAGTCTCACACGGGACGCGCGCGGCTCCCTGGTGCTTCTTCAGAGGAGGAGTAGGGCGAGCTCGTGCTCCCTACCCCCTATCGTATGTTGGGGTGACCACGGCAGATGGCCGAGAGGTGCCCACTATCGTCACTGGCTCGGATCGGGATCGGGAGCGGTTGGTCGATGGGGGCGAAAAAATTTATCTTGCCACCTCCCTTATTCAATCGTGCGGTTAGGCTAAAGTTACCCAGGCTAGGACAAAAGGCCGGTTGGGCATTAGCACATGCTCTGTACGAGCATCAGATTTCCTTTTATCGAAACAAAAATAAGGGTTGCCTGAGCCACAGTACTAGACTACCTACTTTTAGACTATTGCTATTTTTCGTATTTCTTTTCCGATTAGATTCTAGGTTTTTCAGTTTTTATACATATGTGTTTGTGTAATTTCTAGCATACCACTGTGTGATGTCTGCACATTTTATATCAACATATGTATAGATGCAATTTTAATTGCTATATGTTAACTATGTTTGAAGAAATGATATGACTACTTCCAAAAAAATTACACGCTACTTATGCATTGCATTTATCACAATGTATAACTTTGTTCACAAGCGCGAGGTCTACATCACCATGTAGTGATTATCTTCAAAATGTTTTAATTAACAAAAGGTTGTACGAAGTAACATAAAAGTAAGGTCTACACTACTTAGAAGTGATTACCTACATGTGACTAATGCAAAAACGAATGCACCCAAATTATGGCATTAAGATAGCCATAAGAATAAGGTCTGCCACTTGGTGGTGATTACAAACCACCTCTATGTGTTCTACAAAACAAAGATCTTTGTCATGTTACGCTGATTATCTTTTTCTTGTGTGTAGAATGTCACATTTTGGGACGTTTAGGCTTTCCCTAGACGTCCTTTATATTTGAATCAAGCATCTTATTTTACACACAATTAATTTACATGAGGGTAAATTAATGCGCATGATATCTTCATACAGGGTATGGTTGACATATCCTGAAGAAATTTGTTGAGTTTGCCATTGATGACAGAAACTATCTAACGTGGCCCATGGATGTCTAGATTAACATGGTGACCATTTTTTTTAATCTGATCTGCACTATAACCACACCTGATCAGGGAGCTCCTGCTATCACATATATGGCAAAGTATGCTGCTTTGCACTTCATTTGACACTACCTTGATCCTGCTCTGAAAGAAGAATATGTGATGGAGGAAAGTCCTCTACCACTCTAGAACTCGCTAAAGGAGCACTAGGATCAATAGAGGTCGGTGATGTTGTCCGAAGCGCAAAGAGACCGAGCACTTATCCGCTTTTGGGATTTAGGTTTGTTATAGCATACAATTCTATTGTGCATCAAATCAACTATAAGTTGATACTCCGCAATAGTGTAGTTTCGGATGCAGATCTCACGAAAAGACGATCAGGATACTTGTTGAACAACATCGTCATCGGAAATACAAGCATTTTGAATTGGTATATGCACTTATTTATGCAGAAAAGCACAATACAATTCTTGACACGAATAATCTATCTTGTCCAATGGGAACATTGCCATTACTTGAAGCGCATTTCAATTCTCATAATACTCAAAAGTTTCATGGTTCTAAAAAGAACCATAGGAAGTTTAAAGAAAAGTGGAGACGTAATGAGAACTAGAATATCAATGGAGTTCAAAAGGGCAAGAATCATTTTAAGGAAAATGATAAGGGTAGCACCTCTCAAATTTGCTACAAGTGCGGTTGTACTACTCATTATGCAAGGAAGTGTACAACTCCTAAGCATTTGGTGACAAATATTTCCCATGTGAAGAATATTTCTCATATATGTTCCGAGCACCAATGATATTGGTTTCTTCTATTGAGAAAAACAAGAGAGAGCCATGGTATGTTAATATGATGTTGGGTACTTGTCAGATCCCCATAATGCTAGATCGCAAACTGGTTGTGTCTTCTTACATGGAGGTACGACCTTCTTTTGAAAGTCAACAAAGCAAACCTTAGTGGCTACATCCACCAATCACTATGAGATAATTGCTTTATACGAACCATCTCGGGAATGTGTACGGCTTCACACAATGCTGAACTTTCTCCAAGGTTCAAGTGGGACTGGTTCGCTGCAATCAACTACTATTATCTATGAAGATAATCCTACTTATATTTTACAAATGCACACAAGTTATATTAAGAGCTACTTCCTCTGTAAAGAAATATATGAGCGTTTATATTTCTTTAGAGAGGGAGTATATCACAGAGCATATTGCTCCTAAGTTGTTTTATCCCCATGAACTAGAAAAGAATAGGGAAATAAATTGTTTGCTAACAAAGTCACTGATTTATTTACCCATGTCTTTACCAAGTTCTCTGTTTCATAAATATGTAAATGAAATTGGTATGATGCGACTTTGTGACTTGCAAAATTCAGGGGGAGAAATCCTAGACTATAACCTGTTAAGATCGTCAATATTGCACTTTTTTCCTTTGTGAGTTTTCTCTAACGATTTCTCATGTAAAGTTTTTAATGAGAGAATATCAATGCAAGCATGGACGATATATGTTATTTTCTCACTGTATTTTTAGAAGTTTTTCAAGGCATACCGTATATTCCTCCTTAATTTCTCCCACAAGGTTTTTGAAGATGATTCCAACTTCCAAGTATGATCGGTTGCAAGGACAATCAATGCTTAGAGGGTGTTTAGGATTTGTTTAATCTTATTATTAAAGGATAATCCTTCCTTGTAAAGTGCCACGTGGGGTTGACCGTATGGCAACGGTCCCGACGCTTTCCACGCCCCAACGAACGTATGCATCTTCATCACGTCTATTCCCCTTTATGATCATTCATGGAATGCAGTTGGCTGGATTGATTCATTTAGTTTCCACAACAACTCTTCAAAAGAACAATTCAAAGTTGTAAAACGATTTGGCACTGTTTACCAAATAAAGTGGCGAAAACGCAAGAATCAAACACTAGTAATTTGTTAATTCTCTGTTTTGCTTTCCCTAACAGCTACTATCCTCCCACTACAATTCTTCCATGTGTCTTTTAGCAGCTACTAGTTTTTTTCTTATAGTGAGGCTTCGGTTGGCACAGCTCTATAATTTGGCCCAAACCAGCCGAGTCGAGAAAGGCACCGCCTGACCGATGACTTGCACCAGATGAAAGAGACTGTCTGCATCCGAATTATGGAAGGACATAAATAAAAAATGCAAAAATTTAAGATCCTAGTACAGAAAATTATTTATAGCTAAATACTGCCAAGTACCCAAGATACTTACGAAAAGAGCAGTAAAGAACAAAGAAAAACATGCCCCGGCCGAAAAAACACACATGCATCCAAAAAAGTGTGCACCTCACGATGTTTCCAAAATGCTTTCCTTTTAAAAACTACTCTCTCCGTTCGGAATTACTCGTCTCGAAAATAGATGTATCTAGAACTAAAATACGTCTAAATACATTCATTTCTGCGACAAGTAATTCCAAACGGAGGGAGTAGAATTGCTTCTTAGTTGATGTGACCGGAGACGAGTTGATTGCTGCTTCCCTTCTCTGACGACTTTTGACTTCCCTCTATCGAACTTTGAATATGCAGAGCACCTTCCTCCCTCCGGAGGACGACGCCAGGCAAGTCGTTTTATGACCACACAGCTATCTTCTCACTCTTCTATGGCTGCCATTCTCCATTCTGCAGCCTCACAATAATTAAGGATTCTCCATTCTGCACCTTAATTATTCCCCCAGGGTTTTGGAGATGATCCCAAAGACGATCGGTCGCAATTGCAAGGACAAGCAATGATTAGGAAGAGTGTCAGGATTTATGTAGTCTTGTAAGTAAAGGATAACCCTTCCTTGTAAAGAGCCTCGTGCGGTTGGCTGTATGGCAACCGTCCCGATGCTTTCCACGTCCCGATGAACGGACGTATCTCTTCGTCATGTTTGTTCCCACCACCAATGGAATACAATTGGTTAACACTTCAAAAGAACTATTCGAAGTTGCAAAATGATTTGACGCTGCTTACCAATTAAAGTAGTGAAAAGTGCAAGAATCAAACACTGACAATATGTTAATTCCCTGATTTGCTTGTCCCTAACAGCTACTACTCACCCACTATAATCCACTAATGATCTTCTTCAGTGAAAGTGCTACTACTACTTATAGTAGGCGCTGTCGTTTAGCACGTAGGGAATGTAGTCTGGCTCGTTAATTAAGGTATGAAGAAAACGATGAAAGCTACTGCATGCGTCCGTACACCCTTCCGAATAGTACATCACTTGCGTCTTTTAGCAGCTACTAGTGGCTTTTGATAGTGATGAAGCTTGACCATTTTTTATAATTGGCCCACACCAGCCTAGTTGAGCAAGGCCCCGCCTGACCGGTGACTTGGACTGGATGGAGAAAATTATGTGAGCCTAGTAAAAATATCTCTAGCCCAATACGCCAAGTAGCTAAAGCACTTGGAAAAGGAGCAGTAAAGAACAAAGAAAATCACACACATGCATCCAAAAAACACACGTATGCATCCAAAAACATGTGCCCCTCAGGAATGTTTCCAAATGTTTATATTTAGAAACTAGAATTTGCTTACCTAGTTTATGTGACCGGAGAAGAGTTGATTGCTGCTTCCCTTCTCCGACGACTGACTTCCGTCTACCGAACTTTGAATATGCGGAGCACCTTCCTCTTCCTCTTCCTCCCTCCCGACGACGACGCGCCAGGCAAGTCGTTTTATAACCACGCAGCTTATCTTGCTGAGACTCTTCTATGGCTACCATTCTGCACTGTGCAGGTGCAGCTGGCAGAGCCAATGGATCAGCCCGGCCAGCCAGCGCAGGTGCAGCTGACCGAGCCAGTGGCAGCATCTCGGCAGCCGGCAACAGAGTCCGATGAAATCCAGCCAGCGTCTCCGCAGCAGGCAATGGAGTCCAGCCACTTCCGGCCTGCGTCTGCAATGGATCACGGCCACGGCCAGCTTGCGCCACCGCAGCCGGTGCAGCCATGGGAGTACAGCCTGCGGAAGTACCTCCTGCTGCTGGCCACCCTGGTGGTCAACGTGACGTACGCCGCGGGCTTCAACCCGCCGGGAGGGGTCTGGCAGGCCGCCTACGACGGCCAACCCGCCGGCGACCCCATCATCCGTGACACCCACTACCGCCGCTACCTCGCCTTCTTCTACTGCAACGCCACCGCCTTCGCCGCCTCGCTCGTGGTCATCGTGCTCATCCTCATACTCGCCGTCCGGCACGACAAGGAGAAGGAGAAGGGGAAGAAGGACGCCGTCCAGGTCGTCAAGCCGCTGCGGGCTGTCATGGTGCTGGACCTGCTCAGCCTGGTGGGCGCCTACGGCGCCGGAACCTGCCGGGACAAGATCTCCATCGTCTACTCCGTGGTGTTGGTGGCCATTGTCTTCGTCTATATCATGGTACTCAAGCTGAAGGATTGCCGGTGCCCAGAAAGCCCCGACTCCGGTGACACGATACCTCCGACGGAACACAAAGCCGAAGAACGGCTCTGCAAGGTCCTGATGCTCCTGGCGACGTTCGTGGTGAGCGTCACGTACGTTGCCGGGCTGAGCACGCCAGGTGGCTTCTGGGACAGCATCGGCACTACCTACCGCCCGGGCGATGCAATCCTCAAGGACCACCACAGCCTGCGCCTGACGGTGTTCCTGCTTTGCAACACCACGGCGTTCGTGGCGTCCTTGCTCATCACCATGCTGCTCATCATCGACGGCAAGAAGCTCCGCAAGAAGACGGCTCACTCTCGCGTGCTCTACGGGTGCATCGTCGTTGCGCTTGTTGGCCTCGTTGGCGCATACACCGCTGGCAGCTGCAGGAAGAGCGACACCACCGCCAGATTGATTGGCCTGGTCGGAGCCGTTCTGGCAATGGCATGCATCCTACTCTATGGTGGTTTCTATACGCCAGTGCCAGAAATTTCATGTTCTTGTTTCAGTCCAGCAAAACGAACTGATGATGATGTCAGGTAACGGAGCACATATATATCCTCTGTTTGCAGTTACACTGTTTCTTTCTTTCTCTGCAACTGAACTGAACTCTGTTTCTTTTCTCTCTGCAATGTATGAATGCAGCACTAAGGAGCTTCTGGAGAAGGCTCGCTCTCTTGTTCTACTGCTCGCCACTCTTGCTGCCACCATCACCTACACAGCAGGGTTGGACCCACCGGGTGGTGTTTGGCAGGACAATGGCGACGGACACATGGCTGGCGACCCGATTCTCCTCACAACCAATGCTAAGAGGTACAAGGCCTTCTACTACTGCAACTCGGTTGCGTTTGTGGCGTCATTGGTGGCCATCGTCTTGGTCCAGATGGAGAAGCTGGTCAAGCACCATGTGCTGGAGGCAGCCATGATACTCGACCTGTTTGGTCTCATTGGTGCATATGCCGCTGGGAGCTGCCGGAACGTGAACACCTCCATTTACGCCATGGCTTTGGCAGGGGCCGTCTTGGTCTATGTGGTGATCCATGTTGTCTTCTTCACGCTGGATCACACGGACAGGAACACCAGCGACCAAGAAGATCAGTTGCTGGAGAAGAAGCGCAAACGGTTGCTCCTCTTTGCGATCTTGACCGCGACCATCACCTACCAAGCCGGCCTCACCCCTCCTGGCGGCTTCCTGCTCCAGGACGACAAGCTCGGCCACCATGCCGGTGACCCGGTCCTCTTGTACAACTACCCACGTCGCTACCATGCCTTCTTCTACTGCAACTCGGTGAGCTTCATGTTGTCCATCGCCCTCATCATCCTCCTGGTGAACCCCAATCTGTACGGGCCAGCAATACGAAGCAATGCGCTATCTGTCTGCACAGCGGTGGGCTTGTTTTGTTTGATGGGGGCCTACTCCACCGGAAGCACGCAACACATTAAGACATCCATCTACATCTTCGCGTTGGTGGCTGTGGTCCTCTTTGTTGTAGCCATACTGCTGCTAGTATTTTTACTGAGAGGGGCGGACAAAAATGGCACCATAGGACAGGACGAAGAACAAGGGAGGAAGGTAAAAGAAAAGAAGGGGGATGGGGATCGAGAAGAAAGGAAGAAGCACGTGAGGTGCAAGTACCTGATGCTGCTAGGCATTCTGGTGGCGAGCGTAGCCTACCAGGCCGGCCTAGAACCGCCCGGCGGAGCATGGCAGAGCAGCGGCAACGGGTACGAGGCGGGTAACCCAGTGATGCACGACAACAGGAGGCCCAGGTACCTCACATTCTTCTACAGCAACTCCATCTCCTTCATGGCTTCCATAATTGTCATCATCATATTGCTATGGCAATGGTTGCCAAACAAGGATGAAGGAGAATGGGAGAAACAGTCTCTGAGGGTGATGAACTGGATGATCCGACTGGATTTGGTAGCTCTCCTTGTGGCCTATGCAGCCGGCTCCAACAGGGGGTGGAAGACGTCTGTTTACGTCGCCATGCTCCTTCTTGCAGTGCTGGGCTACTTTGCAATCCATATGATACTATCATGTACGGTTTGTCACCGTAAGAAGCCCGAACGGAGATTTGCAGCGAGAAGGCCCAAGGCACATCTGAAGCGTAGCTATACTATGTGAGAGCTATTGCTCATCTGAGCTATGACCTATTTATGTCTTCCTATCTCTAGATCTCAAATCAGTTTGCCCTGCTCTGCCTCCTTGCTCAAGGGCTTCATCAAAAAGCTTCCCTCTTTTCAGATTCCTAAACTCTAGTTGATGTAATCAGATGAATAACCTGCATCCACTTGGAGCATGCTTACATTGTTTGTCGACTTACTGAGCAAGTGTGTGCATCTTAATCGAATGAACATGCATGGCACGTGACGTTTTCCTGACCCTATGTGAACTCTCCGTCTCATAAGAACTTGAATGGCACGTCCAATAACATTTGTATTCCGGAAACTGAAGCATTTGTTACTAATAACATATGTCGTTGCGCTGGTTGGCCTCGTCGGCGCTTCCACCACAGGCAGCTGCAGGGAGACCGACACCACCGTCTACGTGGTCTCCCTCATTGGCGCCGTTCTAGCATACATCCTGCTCCATGGCTTCTGCAGTTCAGCAACCAAATTCTTTTCATGTTGTTCCAGTCCAGCCGAACAACCTGATCAAAATAAGCACACTGATGAGAATAATGTCAGGTACAGAGCGCTGTTTCTTTCTTTCTCTGAAACTGAACCATGTGTCTTCTTTATCTGAAACTGAACTCTGTTTCTTCTTTCTCTGAAACTGAACTCTGTTTCTTCATTCTCTGCAAGACTGCAACTGAACTCTGTTTTGAAATGCAGTGCTAAGGAGGCTCTGGACAAGGCTCGCTCTCTTCTTCTACTGCTCGGCGCTCTTGCCGCCACCATCACCTATACAACGGGGTTGAACCCGCCAGGTGGCCTTTGGCAGGATAACAACGACGGGCACACGGCTGGCGACCCGATTCTCCTCACAACGAACATTGCAATGTACAGGGCCTTCTACTACTGCAACTCGGTTGCGTTTGTGGCGTCCTTGGTGGCCATCGTCCTTGTCCAGAAGGAGAAGCTGGTCAAGCACCACGCTCTGGAGGCAGCCTGATACTCGACCTGTTTGGCCTCATTGGCGCGTATGCCGCCAGGAGCTCTCGGGACGTGAACAAATCCATTTACGCCATGGCTTTGGCAGGCGCAGTCCTGATCTATGTGGTGATCCACATTGTCTTCTTCACGCTGGACCACAAGGACAAGCAAGACAATGATCAAGAAGATCAGTTGCTGGAGAAGAGGCGCAAACGGTTGCTCCTCTTCGCAATCTTGGCAGCGACCATCACCTACCAAGCCGGCCTCACCCCTCCCGGCGGCTTCCTGCTCCAGGACGATGGACGACAAGCTCGGTCGGCACCACGCTGGCGACCCGGTCCTCTTGGACAACTACCCACGCCGCTACAATGCCTTCTTCTACTGCAACTCGATAAGCTTCATGTTGTCCATCGCCCTCATCATCCTCTTGGTCAACCCCAATCTGTACAGGCCAGCCATACGGAGCAATGCATTATCTGTTTGTACAGCGGTGGGCTTGTTTTGTTTGATGGGAGCCTATGCCGCGGGAAGCATCCAACACCTCAAGACATCCATCTACATCTTCGTGTTGGTGGCCGTGGTCATCCTTGTTGCAGTCGGACTGCTGCTAGTATTTTTGAAGGGAAATGGCAATTCTGAGGCGTCATCCGTAACCAATTAACAGAAGGACGAAGAAGAAGAAAGGAAGAAGCACGCAAGGCGCAAATACCTGATGCTGCTCGGCATCTTGGTGGTGAGCGTAGCCTACCAGGCCGGCCTGGAACAGCCCGGCGGAGCGTGGCAGAGCAACATCAACGGGTATGTGGCGGGCAACCCGGTGATGTACGACAACAGGAGGCCCCGGTACCTCACCTTCTTCTACAGCAACTCCATCGTTGTCATCATCATGTTGCTACCGCAATGGCTTCTAAGGATGGAGCAAGGAGAATGGGAGAAATGGACGCTGAAGGTGATGAACTGGACGATCAGACTGGATCTTTTTGCTCTCCTGGTGGCCTATGCAGCCGGCTCCAACAGGGGGTGGAAAACCATTCTCAGATTTGACCTCACGTTCAATCTCCCTGTGCAAAGTAGCTCTGCACGGAAATGATGAGCGTGATTTTGATCATCTACCTATTTCTCCCTGGCCCTAGATCTGTAACCAGCTTAGCTCTGTCCAATCTCCCTGCTTTAGCTAGCTCGCCCTGTTTTTAGGTTCCTTGTCTAGTTGATGTAATCGAATGAACAAGCTGCATCCCAATTGGAGCGTGCTGGCATTGTCTCTCGACGCACTGGGTGTGTGTTTCTTAATCCAATGAATATGCGTGGTGGGTGACCTTTTGCACTCTCTACTCATAAGAACTTGAAAGGAAAGTGCATGAGTTGCAATTACATTTGTACTCCGGATACTGAAGCTTTTTTTTTTTTTTGACGTGGGATACTGAAGCATTTGTTACTACTGAAAGTCTGAAACATACTGTGTCACTTGGTACAATCTCAAGTATTGTGCAATCCTGACAATTAGCAATCAATGATCGAGAGGAAACATACCTTGAACGCGGGGCCCGACCATCGGACGCCAGCGGCGTGATCTCCGCAGCGGGGCAATTCACCGAACACCTGCAGGGCGCCCGATCCCCGCATGCAGATGGTGGCAACCGAGCCGAGCAGGCCGCCGTCGTGCGTGCGGGCGTTGCCGTGGGTCGATAGAGACGTGCGCTGGAGTTAGAGGTTGGCACGATTTTTGGTCGGAGAGGATTCCTCGAGCGTGAGCCGCGTCGATCGGAAGCAGTTGCTCGAGGCGTGAATGCAGGTGCTGCGCGAATCCAGGTGGTTTAAGAGGTCGCTCCGCGCGATCTTCCGCGGGAGGGACAAGGAAAGGGGAAGGCCACCGCGCAGCGCCGCGCTTCCTGGGTGCAGGTTAGGACGGGGCGAGGCGTCGCCGGCGATCGCCGGAGAGAAGGAGCGGCGCCTTGGCTCCTGGCTCCCGCGCGGCTCTGTATCGTGATTCGTGAGGGGCTTTCAAAAAACAAACCGTGAAAACCGGCTAGAGCAACAAACCTCCTGAGTTCTGACTTCACAAATTCAAAATAAATAAATAAATCTGACTTTCTAGTTTTTTTTTTGAGGGGTCTGATTTCCTAGTTCAGAAACGTGAGCTACCGGCGCGTTGGTAACCTCAGGGAATGTTTTTTAAATTTTAAGGAAGGGAATCGTGGAAGATTAGATGTGCCATACACTCCCTTCGTTTCAAAAAAATTGAACTTCTAGATTTGTCGTAAGTTGACCAAGTTATGTAAAAATATACAAACATCTATAACACCAAAGTGGTTTTATTAGATTCATCATAACACCAAACCGTGGCCGCCATAACAGTTGAAAGTGTCAAAATGACGAACAACGAAAACCTAGAAGCTCCAAATCAGGAAAGTTATAACTCCATCCAGTAGAGTGCGAACTCCTTGCACTCCCACACAGGTAGTTCCACCAGAGGAGGAATAGGAGGGACAACCCTACCATCGAAGGAGAGGTGACGGCACATCACCTCTTCTAGTGTTTAGAGCGGAACGGTTGGTGAAAAAACACTCGTTTTGACAAGTAGGATCCAAGTTGGAAATTGCTAATGAAGCTAAAATTTTGAAAAAAATCAAACTTCAAAAATTTAAAGTTTCAAAATATTTCGAAAAAACACATGTACTACATTGGGATGTACTCTACAAGTGTGAAAAAACAATTTTCATTTGTGTACCTCACATCATAACACATTTTCATCATGAAAAACTACACATTTGTAGCCAACATCCCTATGTACATGTGTATTTTTTTCAAAAAAAATGGCACTTGAAAATGTGAATTTCGAAGTGTTTAAAGTTTTGAGCTCCATGAATCTACTTTCCATCCAGTGTCCTATGTAAATGAGTTCACTCCAACCAAACATATGATATTATATCTCAAAAACTCTAAATTATCATTCTCTCTATCTCTCTCTAATTATCTGAAACCAAACCATCTCACAAGTTTGGTAGTGGCGAGAGTAATCAATTTTTTTTGCGGGCAGAAACTTGTATTACTCAACTTGTCATATGATTAGAATCAGCTAAAGATAGCTCAAGAGCTCTCGGGGGTCATGAACCGATCCAAGTTATGGTTATCCCTTCTAGCCGATAAATACTAGCTAGACAACCATTAACCATTAATGAGGGTAGTACAAGCTCCTTAGGTGTTGGATTTCCTTCACCACAAAAAACACAAAACCGATCTATCTGTGTCACTGGACTCAATCAACTTCCGAGCTACACTAGAATCAACCTCAATTTCAATGGGTGGTTCGGTTCGCATCAAAGCCAGAGACAAACCTCCCCATGCATACACGTGACTCTTCTTCAAATGCATCTCTACATGAAAATAATTGTCTCTGGGATGAAAAGACGATAGCTCCTTCGCCATCTCGAAGGATCATACCTGTTCCAGCAAAGCAATCAACAACAAAAGAACCACAAGAATTGAGCTTCGCCCATCCTTGCGGAGGGGCGACCCTGCTGGCTGGAGCTCTAAAATCGTCATCACATGTGTGAAGATTTTGTCCAAGTGCTCATAACTGACTACGCCTTCCCTTTCCACAGTCAGCAATAGGGTCGTGTGACAGTCCTAAGATGGATTCAAGATAATTGCAGGGAAATCTTCTTGTTACATTCATCTGTGGTGGATTCTTCTCCTGAGTGATTTCATTCTTGTTATGCCAAATCCTCCAAAAAGTCATCAAAATCATACACCGCTCACTTTCTTTCAAGGGATCTTTCAACATGGTGCGGCTAATTTGCTACCTAGCAGACACATCTAATGTATGAACTCAACATGTGGTGCTCCTATCATGTTTCCTATTATTTGTAAAAAAAATGAATCTTGATATCATTATTTTTTATCATGAGTGTTGAGATCTTAAAAGTGATCATGCTCGACACAAAAAATATATTTAATTCCAGAAAATAATAATAATAATAATATTTATACTGTATTTTTGACGTCAATAAATTCATAACATTTATCATG